TCCTACCAAGGAGAGATTTGTAGGAGTACGCAGGACAGCCATGAGTCTTAACCAAAGGATACGGCTGATGACACGACCAGATAATCCTCTCTGCGATCTTTGCAACCAGCCTACAGGCTATTTTTGCTATTCCTGTGGTACGATTGTATGTGCAGACTGTCGACTTACCCCACAGGGTAAACAACAGATGTGCGAGTGCATCTTGCCAATCGATTGCCTCGAGACCTCTAAAGTGTCAGCAGGAATGATCTCAGAAGAGCGTCAGGTTTTATACGAGGCCATCCTCACACATGAGGACGTAGATTTGGCAGTCCAGAAAATCAACATGTATTGCGACCACGCAAGGAATTCGTTCATGAGAGCCCATCCAGGCGTTGATCCATGTAGCTTTGATGATATTAGGAATAATCCTCCTAATACTTACACCAGCTCCACAGAGGCTCCAACCCTGGAGGAATACAAGAGCATCAACAAGGGTCACATCAATATCAAGGACTCCAGAACAAGCCACCCGGCGTCTTTTCTCTCTCTTACTGGCTACGAAGACAAACTGGTGCTCGACGCACATTACGAGATAGTTCGTAATAGGATGGCCGGTGTTAACGAAAAGAGAGAACACATAGAGGGCTCAAACCCAGACAGCGTATCACTAAGCCTAGTGGTATGCAACTGGGGAAATATGGATCGAGCGCCGGTGCCAGCAGGGAATCCCAAAAAGAAACTCAAACCTGAGAAGGGATTCGATTACCACCCTCTTATTGACATGTGCTTCAACAATTCAGCACATATTACCCTCGTACTCGAGGCAGGAGCACTTGCGTCAAAGTATTCGATCGCAACCATGCGACAACATGAATACAGAGGGATGCTAATCCATTCTCCTCCCAAGGAGCCTGAGGCACCCTCAATGTATATTGGAGTCAAGGGTGACCCAACAACAGACATCTCTCTCGTCCACCACTTTTACCGTCACCGAACAATGAAGCCTAAGGCTGGTGGTCCCAAGAAGCGACTGTGGGCATGCCACGGTGCGGTATGCCGCCTCACCTTTGGGTACCACAGTACCATCAAGGAGGCAAAAGAATGGGTCCACCCATATTCCGGCCAGAGGATGACGAGAGATGAGTACATGAAGATTATCGGATATGACCCTCTCAAGGGTAAAAATCCTGACAAGGATGGACCCACTGATGGCTCTTACCTCTCACCAGAGGCGTGTCTGACACTGTCGGACCTCGACCCTTCGCCGGTTCTCTGTGAATGGAACGGCCATGTCGAGGGTGATGAGCCACCAGAGGAAGACTTTGAGTCATACGCAGAGATCTTCTCACAAGAAGCATCAAACGATCTTGACGAGATGTGGTGTACAAAAGGGCCTTACAAGGTCATCACCATCGCGATCGTCCATTTCAACTCATACATGACTCATAAGGAAGAACAGAGGCGCGAACTGGTGAACGCGTTCCTCAACGAGGTTCTCCCTTTCAAACCGGATGTAATTGCGGGGGATCTCAATAATATTGCGTCGAGGCTCACCTTAAAAGGTGGAGACGTTCACCCGCGAAACGGTTTGTTTTCTCTATACCTGGAGAAGAAACTTGCAGCATTCAACAGAATAGCAGGAAGGCACTCACAAGTGCGACACCTCTGCTTGAACAACTCTGACCAGCACAGACTGGCACGTGCAGATCGTCTACCGCCGGACCCGGCGAAGAAAGTTGCTGACCTCGACTGTATCAACAGTTATATCCTTGACTGGAGTAAAACGCCGCACACGGCGTCACCTAGTCCAAGAGATGCTACACCTGCCGCCGAAAGAACATACTGGGAACGAGTCTCAGATATGTGGCAGGACATGAACAGAAACAGGGATATCGATATCCGTCTGTTTGTCTCAGTCAAGCAGTACTATTCAACTTTTTCTAACCTTGACCTGTGGTTGAGTCCCTCTGACAAAGATTGGCACAGCCCTTTGGGCTTCACGATACAACCAATCCTTACAAAAGGGAAACACAACCGGTCAGATGCCCAGGTTCAGAAGATCGCTGACAAGCGACAGGCTTACAAGCAGCGTAATGCTGAATACTGGGATTACAAAGACTCATTTATGTATTCATCTGGCAACAGCTGGTACGACAGACAGCAACCACAAGGTAGCTATCACAGATATGGAAGATTCTGGGAAAGGCCACAGCCTGAACGTCCCAGCGAGCCTGAAGGCTCTCCTCCAAGAAGGAGCCAGGCATCATCGTCCTCTTCACAACAAGATCTACCAAGATCGAGATCCAGACCTCAGAGAGCCAGTCTTGTTGACAAGCTCAACATGTCTTTAGAGGAACTGGACACACTTGAGGAAGAACAATCTCCAACAAAAAGTGATATCGAAGAGCACGAACGAGAAACATCAAACCTGATGTCGGCTCAAAGAGATGAAGACGAACAGGAGGAAGAATCTTCCAGTCGCAGAAGAAGAAGGAAGTCATCGCGACCGCCGTCTGCTCCGAGCAGCAAGGCACTCCGAACAGCTGCCACAGCAGCAGGGTTGTCGAACTGGTTCGGACACCCTAATCAAGGCGGTGCAAAGGGAGAGTCTATCAAGACTGATGAACCTTCACTTCCAAACTCACTAACCAGTGAGCAAGACTTCTCCGTCTTCAGCATCGCGTGGAATGTGTTTCTGCTGCTAATGGGCCTACACTGGATGTGGAAGCAGCTCACCAGGGCTCCCATCAGATGTATGGACCGCCAACAATCAAATGCAAAAGCAGCAGCGAAACGACCACCACCATTTCTCGAACCCGAGAATGAACCACAGACGCGTGAACCTTTAGGACCCAACAGGGTCAATTCTGGAGAAACAACGGATTTGCGACCTGTGTGGCACACTTCCCGAAGCGAAGTCTACCATCTTTCAGACAGCTGTTACCAGCTCAAGCAAGCAAAAGATGTTTCAAGGAAGGTGCTGTGTAAAACCTGCCTCCAGGCAGTACAAGTTGCGGAGATTCGCAGGAACGATCCTTTTCAAAGAGGTGATACACGATCACGTGGCACCGAAAGGGACATTGAACGGTTTCAAACCTATGACGATGCAAGTACTACTCCTCATATGAGGCAATTATTCAGTGATGCATTGCATTCACAAATGGCCGAAGAAGCCATGCAGATTACCTATACATCAATCCCTAAGGGATCCTCGGCAAGAGCCAGAGGTACATCTGCACTCGCAAGTGCCTCATCGTCGTCAGTGCCCAAGGCAATGCCACCAGTGCCTAACAAGGCAAACATGTCACCTCCACCTAAGACTCCTCCGCCAAAGGCGAAAGGAACAGTACCTTCAGATCCTCCGAGACCAAAAGGTCCTACCAGAAGAGGAGGTCAAAATCGGCGCATTCAACGAAAAGCAGCTAGAGAAGCCCATAACAGTGGACTCTGCAACCATGCAGACGCTGCACTTGGCGAAGCCAATCAAGGCCAGGCCATTAACACTATGTGCCGAAACATGGCAGTAAGACACGTCAGCTCTATCGATGCAACGGTAGAAGCAGCCGAGCAGTTTACACAACGCGTGCAACAGCACGTAGAAACATATGATGAAGAGGAACCGTGGAGCACGGAGTTTCTACCAGTCGTGGAAGTCCTATTCAGGAACTTGAGCAGCGACGAAACAACTGTCATACATGACAATCATACGGTAACTATGCCTATTGAGAAATATCTCGACCTCCTCAGAATCGCACAATCATTGCGAAACTCTATCCAGAGAGACAAGGAGGAAAGAAAGGATCATCTTGACACCATCCAAGATACTCTATCCAGAGTGGAAATCCTTCTAACAGCACTGAAGGACTCAAAAACAGTCTTCAATCAATTGGTCCATTCCTCACTAGAGATAGAGCGAAGACATAAAAACCTCAAAAATGTCCTTGAGACACTTTTTGACGACCAAAGCTCTGAGGAAGACCAGTCAGAATCTGACCATGAAGAAGTCCTAACTCCTTCTGCAGCACAGTACTGGAACAGCCTTCATGCCCACGCCTTATCTCCCTCAGGAGATGAAAGTGAAAGATCATGGGCGTCCTCAGACGGACAGCTTGAAAGAAGAAGGGCCGAACGGGCAAAGGCTAAGCAGCCACAACCGGCTAAAGCCGAGGCAACTCCAATCAGCTCACAAGCTGCACCAAAGGCCGAGCCAAAGGCGACTACATCCAACCATGGATATGACACTGCAGACGCCGCCTTCACCAGGGCTGAGAACAGATTACTCGGAATCTTTTCAAGTTCCGAAGAAGATCACTCAGACCCGGATGAACCACATCCGAACGTCTATGCTCGAGCCTATGATCCAAACCTGGATCCAAATCTGAGATAAGGAAAATCTCAGAGTTTCACAACAGTGACTCACAAGGCTCTAACAAGAGCACAGTGAAGGGCTGCATAATTCGATAGAAGAACATTACCAGACCTGATCCTGTACAGACGATCTCTCTGACCAATGTGCATGAAAGAGTTCAAAAGGAGTGATTTCAAGAGTGACTTCAACAGTGTACTTCAGTGCTATACCTAGCATAAACAATATGCTGTTTTTATCATGAGTCCAAACTCCGCAACTGTGACAGTGGGCATAATAGTATATGTGTGAATGTGCGGCCATGCTTCCGGTAAAAGAAAATTAGTGTCTGTTTGTTTGCGTAAACCTCTAAAGGGGTAGCTCTAACAGGTACCTACAGCAATGGCTGCATGCTCATACATATACATTCCGCTGCCCATTGGCTCACAGTGGTTTTACCATATTGAGACAAGACAAGCTCTCCTTGCGTAGCAAGACAAAACAACTACTGTCCGTGTGCAGGGCGCTGCCCTTTGATCCTTAGGGAATAAACTGGTCATACACCTCCTAACAAGGAGCATTTCCTTGTGGGTGTATCGGCTCACCCCCCAACCCCCCCCAACCCCCCCCAACCCCCCATCTCTGAGACCAGACCCTAGGCTAAGGCCACTGCTCTCGCGATGCAGCCACGGGAGTGGGCGGCCTTTGTGTGGAAGCGATCGAGGCTTCACAGCTCTAGGTAAGCTCGGTATCTGAGTTAAAGCTATACACAATATGGGAGTTTCCTAAAATAGGGGACCCTAATATAGTACCCTAAATAGTAGGATCCTTATTATAAGGACCCCCCAAATATGGTACCCATCATTTTCGGAAACTCCCATATAGAAGCAAGCATGACACTACTCAACGCTTACTGAACACTTACCCCTACACCCTACAAGGTCGCTTCCAAACCCAGTCGAAATCCCTGTTCGCCTACAAGTCCATGCGGTTTAGGGCTTCCGGTTCGGGAGTTGAACGGTCGGATGAAGGCCATGGGTCGTTCCAAGTGGTGCCGGATGCGGCTTAGCTGGGGTCAGGATTCATGTAGACCCCTGCACAAACACCGTTTGTCATAGGCATCTGCACATAAAGGCCTTTGCAGACAGGCGACTCTTGAGCAACAGTCTACATTTTCGATTACCGTATATCTGCTTCACTCCTGTAACCATACCTCTATATGCCCATGAAGCCAAGCACAGTAATTCAAGGTACCAGAGGCAGCAATGCTGCGAAGCAGTTGTAGAATTATAAGCTGCAGCCACACAGTGAGACACGAGTATTCACACATAGAATTACAGAGCCGTCCATACAGCTTTGACATGGGGGCTTCAAAAATTGTGGGGCTCCCATGTCGGAGAGCCTTACAGGAGCGATCCCGACTGCTCAGGGCATAGCCTTCCTTCAATTTTTCTAAACCTGAAACTCTTACTTGAGGTGTGATCATCTAAAGTGCTGCACCCTAAAACTTGAGAGTATTGAAAACACCCTAGACCCTAAGGTAAAAGCCAGAATGTTGGAATATAATTATCCTAACCCTTCTATGGTAAATTATAGGGTATCCTACCATGAAACCATATTCCGACTTTCTGGAGTTCCCTCTAGAGCGTAGAGCCTTAAAGCCCAGACCAAAGCTGCGAGGCTAAGCCCAGGGCGGCGCCTTCATGGGCGGAACCACCTCGGCGTGGGAAATTAAATTGAGTAGGGTTTAGGGTTTAGGGTTTAGGGGTTTAGGGTTTAGGGTTTTGAGTTATCGGCATCGCCCATGGCATGTTTTAAGGTTCAACGTGAGGGTCTGTAGGGGAATGGCAAAGGATAATGACGGCTTTTTGGCCATCCGTGGGTTTAGGGTCTTGGGTGGCTGGGATCTAGGGGCGAAGGGCTCAGGTCTTGGGGCTGCAGTTGATGACATAAATCCTGCATTACCCATAATAATGAATATACCGTAATTCCCATAGTGTAGGGTCCTTAAGGTAATGCAGGATTTATACCATCAACAGTAGGAAGATGCTTGAGTCTACGGAGGTGTTGAGGACTTCACTTGGAACCGCAGCCATCGGGAATGTCGCAGGATGATACGGTTGATGATATGAACCTTGCACTACCTTAGTGATCCTAAACTATGGGAATTATGGCATATTCCTCATTATGGGTAATGCAGGATTTGTATCATCAACAGCAGGGACCGTGCTCAAACCCCAAGCCCTACCTCCTAACCCCGAGCCTACAATCAATCGCCCACATGACATGACTTGGAGTAGCATCCTACTCCAAACTCTATTTCAATGTTCTTGAATGAAACAGCAATCCGTGATTTTTGTTGGGACGTCTTTGATTCAAGGAACCTGATCATGCAATGGAAATCTCGTTATTGAACCATCTTCCGTCCTTTTGCGGGGCTTCTTCCGGGTTTCTGCGGGTGTACCTATAGTCTCCATTGTAGTTCCTTTTTTTGGGTTTAACCAGTTTTGTTATCCTAGACGGTAACCCCAAAAAAGAACTACAGTGGAGACTATAGGTAGGGTTTCGGAAGCCAGCCGAACCCTAGGGATCAAAATAGCCCAAGAGCCTTGTATGGTATGGTCTTTGGGCCCCAAAAAGCCTTAATATATAAGTCCTTAGATCCCTAGAAGGAACAAGATGATGGGAGGCCAAAAGGGGGGGTTTAAGATTCCTGGGCTAGGGATTCCTTAATATGAGCCCTATTATGGGAACCCCAATCCCCACCAAACCCCCATAGCCTAAAACCCCTTTTAGCCCCCTATGAGAAGAGCAAGCAGGGGCCCTAAACCCTAAAAAGCCCCAGAGCCTTAAACCCGAAACCCTAAACCCTAGGACCCTAAACCCTCAACCCTAGTAGGGGGAAGAAGAGCAAGCAGATCCCTAAACCCTATAGATCCCTTTAAAGGACCCCTTATAGATCCTTTTAAAGGAACCCTATGTGAGTCCTTAGACCCCTAGAAAGGGGGAAGAAGAGCAAGCAGCAAGCTGAGCACGCTGGCAACGGCAGGTTTCATGCCCGGGACCTGCGTTGAAAACTTCCCCTCTGAGCACCCCCGAACCTGAGAAGCCCAGGGGACTTACCCTTACAGTACCCCTTTAAAGGAACCCTACTTAGAGGCCCGGGGGACTTAGTAAGTAGGTCATAAGTAGCGCTTTTTAGTACCTTAAATGGAGTTACCCCCCATTATAACCCTACTTCGAACCTACTTACTAAGTCCCCTGGGCCTCCAAGTAACCTTACACCCTGAGCTCATGCTAAATCCTAAGCCTTGAAACTGTGGGATCTTGGTCATAGGGTTCAGGAAAGCTTAGGATCTTAGGTTTCAGGGCTTGGGGATTTCCCAAGACCCATGAAGACTTGACTATCGCAGATCCGAAAGTGGCAAAAGACGTAGCTCGCCCCGATTGGGAGTTTCAGAAAACTGGAACCTCCGCATAAAGGCCCCCAAATAAAGATACCTGGAAGAACAGATATGGAATACAATAGTTAAAACTGGGAGACCTCGGCAACAATATTAACTACAGGCCCCTGCTGCTTGACTTTTCCTGCTACCCACCATTCCGATCCCATCCCAGGGCAGCCCACCTGTTCTGCGGGCTTCAGCACATGCCCCTGGCCTGGACGAGGGAATACAGGGGAATCTAAAAGAACGGAAAACATGACTCCAAGGCTTATGTTTCCACGCAAACCTCTCTCAACCACAAACTCTCATTCGAGCTCCGAGCACCGCCGCAGCATAATCAGCCAAACTATGAACCCTACACCCTACAGCATAAACCGTAAATCCCTAAAAATATATATAACCCCAACCCGCAAAACTCTGAAATCCCAAACCCTTTAAAACCCTAGAACCCAAAAAGTCCCCCTAAACCCTGAACCCTAATGGACCCCAGGAACTCCAATATCCCTTAATTAAGGAATATACCTTAAATTAGAATAGGGATCCTACTATATTTTAAGGAATATTCCCCCCAGGAACTCTGAATCCCTAAAATCCCAAACCCTGTGCGCGGCACATGTGCCTTGGAGCATGCTCCCTGGCCTGGGCGTTCGATTTGGGTGGTTGTCAATATGGGAGCTTCCGAAAAATAGGGGTACCTTATTTTGGGGTCCTTATGATAAGGATCCTACTATTTAGGGTGCTAGATTAGGGTCCCCTATTTTCGGAAACTCCCATATTAGGGTTCGTTTTGGACTCCTGATTATAACATGGCACCTAATATTTAAATTTAGGGTACCCATAAAGGGACCATAATTATATGACAACCACCCATATGCGACTCGGGCTCTTCTCTCCCATTGGCAAACTATGGAGGATGTGGGATTCCCGGTTTAGGATTTTTTAAGGCCTTAGGGGTTTAGGGTTGCGGGTTTAGGATTTAGGGGTTTAGGGGTTTAGGGGTTTCGGGTTTATGACTTACATTTAAGGCTTGGGGCTTCTGGCGTTTGGTTTAAGATTCAGGGTTTCACGGTTTAGGTCTTTTCGTTTCGAGCTTAGGTGGGTCATGACGAGCCACAAGGGCAGGTAGGGTATTGTTAGACCGAGGCTTTAAAAGGTTATATGCTGTGCATCTCGTGCAGAACCGTGAGGAATACTATTGGTGCTTTGTTACCAGGGAATTAGGGGGTGTGCATAAGGGTGTAGGTCATAGGAATTTCTCGATGAGGTTTCTCAGAAGAGCTGGGGAAAGCAGGCAGCTGTTGGGATGATAAATACTGAACACCCTCTCCGGGGAACATTATCTTCAGCTATTTGCAGCCCTGCTTGTGATCATCTAGCATGGGCAAAGCAGCAAGGCCAACCGCTGTGGCAGTCCGAGCAGCCCTGATCCCCTCAAGCCGAAAAACTATGTAATTTCGGCTAGAAATAGGACCTCTTCCAAAATTCTTTGGAAGCCCGTTCAAAGCTCCATATGAAGCCCTTATGAAACCTTCAAGAAAGCGATATCTGAATGATTAGTGATCAAAATTCCCATGCAATCTGCTACAATTACCTTAGTGTGACAACACGTGCTCTGGTCTAATCAGTGAGGTGCATGTACTAAGTCCCAAGATAACACTACTATAGTATACCCACAGACACTATTGCAGTTGCAAGGCCCTTGCTTATACTGCTACTGAAATCCTTGTAGAACCCTTGACAACACCCTTAATGGAAGCCTACTGAAAGATTCCCTATAGCACCCTTGGAAAGAGCCCTGAAAGCAAGTCCCCATTAACAGATACTAAGAAGCCGTCCCCGTTTAACAGTCCCACGACCCGTTGGGTATCTGAGGCTCCAGGCCCCTGTTCCCAAGAGCGCTTCTGGTTGGGCGAGATGACCCTCGAGGGACTTAGTAAGTAGGTTATAAGTAGGGTTATCATTGGGGTAACTCCATTTAGGGACTTATAACTCTACTTATAACCTACTTACTAAGTCCCCTGCCCTTCCAAGTAGGGTTAGGGTTTAGGGTATTAGGCTAGAGACTTCAGGGTGAATTAGGGAATATAGGGATTAGGGTGCTGAAGTGTAGGGATCAGAGTTTAGGGTATGCCGAGGGTCGGTTCAAGTCTAGCGTTTACAGTGTAGGTTGCTATAACATTGACGGCTCTGGATCTGTTTCTGAAATCTATAGTAGCTTATCGGGGTTCATAAGGCTGTTTGTACGTTTGCGACAATCGTAGAAAGCGGGCTCGTGTCATGCTTACGTAGGTTCAACTGATGCTTCCAATGAATTCGCTTCGGATGTAAGCATACATACATGGCCACGACGCTCAGAAAGGTCGTAGCGGTCTGGGGCTGGACAGCTGGACTGCTCAGCTGCTGCTAAATGCGGTCAGGATTACGCATTTAACATGTCCGATTTCTGCCGCACCTTTCACTGCCGTTCTTCGCTCCTTTCACAAGCTGCAAAGAAAACAGAAAGCCTGCCAGAACGAACCCGACAAAGCCAGACCACAGCTCAAACAAAAACCTTGGTGCATGCTTGTCGAAACCCCCTCGAAACCACATATCCCAAAGCCTCACTTGAGTCCTACAAGGAAGCGTATCAAACCCATATAGAACAGATCCCTTCTACTTTTAAAGACCTTTTTCAAACCCAAGAGTTGAGCACTGAGGCCTTGGCTGTACCATGCCTGGCAGAGAAGGAGGAATGCCTGCAGTCGTCTCAGCCACGCTTCCCAGAGACTCCCTGACCCATCGACGGTTTTTTGAACTCCTTTTCTCCAGTGCCCAGAAGGGTCTCGAGAGGCCGCGACGGCCAGGACACAGCCCATCGACGGTTTAGGGTTTAGGGTTTAGGATTGAGATATAGTCCCTTCTGCGCGGTTTGCTCTGGTTTCTCCAATACTCTAGTCCCTCCAGCGCGGCTTGCTCCCGTATCTTGAATGCTCGTGTCCCTTTCAAGCGATGTGCACCTGGCCCCAGTCCCTTTTCGAGCGGCTTGCCCCGGCTTCTCTGATACCCTAGCCCTTTTCGAGCAGTTTGCTCCTGGTTCTCAAATACTCTAGTCCTTTTCGAACGGCTTGCCAGTGCTATCTCAAGAAGCTCCAGTCAGCTCCTCTCTTTGAATGCTCTAATCCTTTCGATCGGTTTGTCATTTTCCTCAAAGTCTCCAGTCCCTTTTGCGCGGTTTGCTCTTGTTTCTCCGAAACTGTTTCTCAAGTACTCCAATCGCTGATGTGCTGTGCGAACACACTTGGATCCCACGGTGTGCAAAGAGATCTGTTCATGTGAAAAGACTGCGGCGATCTCGCACCGGCCCGGATGCCAATTCAATTTTCCACAGTCCCACCCTGTTTTTTCGTTCGTTTGCCACCCCCTTGCCCGGCTTCCCCTCTTTTTGCCTGATTTGTCGGCCTCCCCCCCCCCCTCCCAGGCCTCCCTTCCCTCATTTTACCTGTAAAGCTTGGGGTTTGACAGGCCGCTCTAGCATAAAAAAACATCGACTGCCCCCTCGCCCTGCCGCTACACAGCCGAGGCGGGCGGCGTAGCGTTAAAATTATAATTTTGGCTGTGTCTTAGGGAGTATAATAACCAACAATTAAAAAACTATTTCTAAGTACCCCTAAGAATCATGTGCGCACACATCCCCTGTGCTGTTGGGAACCCGTATTCCGAAACTTGGTCACCGTGCCTTTGCTCTACAGATTGTAGACACCTAAATCGTTTCCTCTGCCGGGGAATAACCCCACTCCCCAAAGCCTTTTGACCCCAAACCCTCAACCCCTAAACCCCAAACCCCTAAGCCCTAAACCCTGAATAACCACCAACCCCCAAACCCCTAAACCCTAGTCCCGGAACCCAAACCCCTAAACCCCAAACCCTGAACCCAAACCCTAAACCCCCAAACCCTGAACCCAAACCCTAAACCCCTCAACCCAAACCCTTAACCCTGAGAACCCTCCCCTCCCATCCACCCTTGTCGGCCTGTGGACTTGGGTGCAGCTGCAGCCTCGTTCGCGACAGGACACTGCATTTTGTGGCTTAGGGGTTCGGGGGTTTAGGGGTTTAGGGCCTACAGGATATAGGCTTTAGGGTGTAGGGTTTAGGGTTTGGGTTTTTTCGTCTAGGCTTTAGGGTTTAGAGTCTTGAGTGGCTGACCTACAGCCTCCCATCGAGTTCCATGTTACATGGTCGGCCAGCTTGGTGTCTAGCATCCAATTGAAAACTAGGTATCCCAAACAACCTCCTGTGCAAGACCGATACAGAACATGGGCCTTAATAATGACGTTGGGTTGTGCATACATTTTAGAATACTTATACTACGGCGTTCACACAGATACATGTATGCATTGATGTATGTCCGTCTGTATGCATGTATACATATATACATGTACCATTACAGGTACATACATATATACATACATCATATGGGGGAGAGAGAGAGACAAAGAGATACCGTTTACAGTTCTTTATAGAAGGGTTGCAAGACACTTGCACCTGCAAAACTTTGGTCTTACAGGTCCGGCTTGAATGGCCAGCTACTTGCCGAAGAAGGAATCACAATCTCATGGAGATATAAACAAATAAGTATAGCACATATAAACAAACACTCATACAGATATATATATATATATATATATTGTTTATGCTTCTTATAGCTTCTTCTATAAGGCGCAAAGACAGGAGCAACCAATCCCACGGCCCCCCCCAACCTCGATGTTTCGGGAAGTCACATGAGTTCATGACCAGAACCCCAATGCAAACTTAGGGCTGAAGGCTAAAGGAGGACTACTCTTTCAATCGGGGAAGACTTGCCTCTCTTCACTTTGGGCGTGCACGAATTGCCCTGATCTTTCAGGCTTTGCTTGCAAAAGCTTTTGTCAATGCAGAAGTCAAAGTGTGCCTGAGCAGTATAAATGCTACACAGCCCCAAGAAACGTCATTAAACCACCTTGAATCAGCCTGGTAAACCACCATGAAAGCCATACAAGCCCCGTAAGAAGTACACCCACCGCATTGGCCTGAGCTTCTGCCGCGAGTTTCCGGGCCTGGCTCTCAAGGGCGTTCCACTGGCTTACGGTTCACGGTTCCGGATGTGTAGTTTGGCTTCACAGCTTGCTGAGGATTCTGCCGAATTCCATCATAACTATTTTCAGGCATCTTCTGGGGTCTGTAGGTCTGAATTTTACAAGATCTTGGGATGGCGTTTGTCGTGTGTGGGGCAAGCGGTGTTGATCTTCTGAGGGACTCTTCGCAGGGCTGCATCACACTTCCTTATCTACGGGGTATGGGGCTCGGCAAAAAACCTGACCCTGCTCGCCTCCTCCTCTCTTTTCGCCTCCTTCGCGAGACGTTGGGCCCTGGACCTTCGAGGATACTCCGGAAGTCTTCGGGCATGCCTTGGGTTTTACGGTTTAGGGTTTAGGAATTTTTCAATGGCTTTGCCATTCTACGGCATCTATTGGCAAATCCAATGTCCAACAACGAGCATGCATGAGAATATCCTTGAGGCCACCGCATGTAGGGGCCTTAAGAATTAGAATAGGGAGTTTTGGGGTGTATAGTCATGTTAAGGAACCCGCACAATAATGTAGGTAGCTCTTCTTTAGGCTCCTATGTTGGATCTATAGATACCACGCCGCAAACTGCTCCCCCCCAAGCTCGTAAAGACTCAGCGACACGCACTTCCACAGCGCCGGGACGCGCCCTACCAAGGAGGGCAGAAAGGCGGGTTTGAGGCAGCGGCTTGTTGTGGTCGCTTCACGTCTGTTGCATGGTTTGTTTTCGGGTATATGGGGTGTTATGAGGGCTTGGATTTCCCGAGAAAAAAGGCAACCGACTGAGAATGGGCTGTTTGAGCTCAGAACAACATCCTGAAATACTTACTCCAGACTGACTTGTTATACTTTTGCTACGCACCCAAAGACCCCTAAAACCTAAAACCCTACAACCTAAAACTTAATTCCACTTGTCCAATTGTTGTAGCCCATCCTCGAAGGGATTTCCGTTCGCGGCTCCGGTGTTCAAGCTTTGCCAAATATGAAGTTTGAAACCGTAAACTCAACCCGACAACCCTCAAAAGGGTTTAGGGTTTAAGGTCTACCTTAAACCCTAAACTAGGGCCTTTAGGGCTTAGGGCCTTCGGTGCGGGACAGCTGCAACAAGAGCTTTAGCCTCGGGCTGAACTGGCCCCGAAAAATTTCTCGGCCAGAGGGACCAGAATCAGAAATCGCGAAACCACGGTTTGGGGTATACTTACCTTTGGTTAGTAGGGAATGGAGGAATGGGGACCAATTATAACTACTATTACTACCATTCTTCCATTCCCTACTAACCAAAGGTAAGTATAGGGTTCAGGGCAAACCAACCTCACGACCCCAAATGCGAAAGCCTGTAAGCCCTGGACTCTATAGACATTCGGCTAGCCCGGGGCTACCAAACACTATCTATGATCTCCAATCTGGATCTTCTTTTGGGTTTACTTGGTTTCTTGGTTTTTGAGCCCTAAACATAAACTTTTGACACAAGGAATTCCAAGAATCTAGATCGGAGCCTATTGAACAAAAACGTCAGACCGACTCCAAATCGCGCCAGGACACCATAACAACCTTTAACCGATTGCCGAGTCCAGAAGTTCTCTATGTAGATATAGATATATGTACAGATGTAAAACTAGGTATAAGTATAATAAGCATAGATATTATACATGTAAATAAATAAATAAATATATATATATATATATATATATATATAGTAGAAGCCACAAAGTTGGAACATGGCTCGAGGGTGACGAGTGCTGGATTTCGCTTGACCGTATGAGGATAGTGATGTTCTGACATTCTGGCTTCTGCAATGTGGGTGTTTCAAAGAAAAGGAGCCATCGAAAAAAAAGGGATCCTTCATCGAAGCGACGGGTAATCCTCTGAACTTCTGAGCCTCACATATACACCCAAGAAGCCGAGCGGCCAAACACGCAAACTCCAACGCCCAATCTTTCCCAAACCCCTCAAACTCAGAACCGCCCCAACCCCAAACTCGAACCCCGGAACCCCCAGACTTCAAGCCTTAAACTCGAGATCCTTAAGCTGTGCTTGAGTAATATGCATGTCTGTAATTACTCCAGGAAAAATGAGCAGAACGACTCCTGAAAGGCACGCAGTAATCTGAGCACCCGACTCGTCGCACTTATCCCAGTAACCTGGTTCGATGACGCCAGCAACGATTGTTCAAGTCCGCAACGTTCGGGCTTTCAGGGTAGTACAACTCTCTTCAGGTTTTTGGAGTTTTCATCTTTGAGGGGTTTAGAAGAGTTTATGATTTGGTGAATGGGTTCCGGGGCGTGGGGTTTACCTATACTCTCCACTGTAGGTCAGTTCTGCTTGACGTGGCTTCTTCATATCTCTTTACTGTAGCGCCTTAATAATCAGAACAGGGTTTTGGGGCCCAGTATAATGCAGTTACAACAAGGACCCGCCAAAATGGTATGGGAAATTACTTAGTAAGCACCTTCATTTATTTCGGAAGGGGGATAAACGAGGGCTCTGCGCCGTCCAACAGCTTGTCCGGGTGATGTTGCAACAAAGCCTTCTGCCGCGAGACCTTCCACTCCTCGTGGCAGACAGTCACCGACTCCAGGCCGAACAACACCGGTGCGTCATTCTTGGCCTTCTGCCAGATGGACATGCACGTGCTCGACAAGGGCATGTCCTGCAGGCAAAATGCGTTGATCTGTGAGGATTTGGGGTGGGCGTGCAAAAGCCCATCATTCAGTCCTGAGCCGACCAAGAAAGTGGCGCAACTGAACACCCTTGGGAAAACTGGCGTCAGCAGCGCTTGCAAGTCCACACACAACTGCCGGAGCTGCGTGCACAACATGCAAGCCTAAAACCTTAAACCCTAAACCGCAGTGCAAAAATTGTCTCTGGACATGTTGCAAGAAGACAACAAATGCCATGAGCACCCGGTCATAAAACTCAAATTGCAGAACATGAAAATCGTGGCTTAAACTCTGGGAAAAGCAACGGTCATGTTGCCCATGAACATGACTGGCACCGAGAACTAGCAGACTCCCAGTCTGCAGAATGTGGCATGTACACCGGACATGCAAAGGTGCAGGGCTCTTTTTCGCACAGGATGCATCAAGGGAGTGCTGCCCGTCTTGGCCGACAAACGTTGCCTGCCTGCAACCTACAACGAGGGAGACGGTCACCGACTCGAGGCCGAACAACGCCAGTGCATCCTTCTTGGCCTTCTGCCAGGTGGACATGCACGTGCTCGACAAAGGCATGTCCCGCAGGCAAAATGCGTTGATCTGTGAGGATTTGGGGTGGAGCGTGCAAAAGCCCATCATTCAGTCCTGGGCCGACCAAGAAAGTGGCGCAACTGAACACCCTTGGGAAAACTGGCGTGAGCAGCGCTTGCAAGTCCACACACAACTGCCGGAGCTGCGTGCACAACATGCAAGCCTAAAACCTTAAACCCTAAACCGCAGTGCAAAAATTGTCTCTGGACATGTTGCAAGAAGACAACAAATGCCATGAGCACCCGGTTGTGCAAAACTCAGTCGTAAAACTCGAATTGCAGAACATGAGAATCGTGGCTTAAACTCTGGGAAGGAAAAGCAACTGTCATGTTGCCCATGAACATGACTGGCACCGAGAACTAGCAGACTCCCAGTCTGCAAGATGTGGCATGTACATTGTACATGCAAAGGTGCAGGGCTCTTTTTCGCACAGGATGCATCGAGTGAGTGCAGGCCGAACAACGCCGGTGCGTCATTCTTGGCCTTCTGTCAGATGGACATGCACGTGCTCGACAAAGGCATGTCCTGCAGGCAAAATGTGTTTATCTGCAAGGATTTGGGGTGGGGCGTGGAGAAGCCCATCATTCAGTCCTGGGCCGACCAAGAAAGCGGAGCGAGCAAGAAAGTGGCGCAACCGAACACCCTTGGGAAAACTGGCGTCAGCAGCGCTTGCAAGTCCACACACAACCGCCGGAGCTGCATGCACAGTATGCACGCCTAAAACCTTAAACCCTAAACCGCAGTGCAAAAATTGCCTGTGGACATGTTGCAAGAAGAAAACGAATGACGAAACACTAAGGAAGGTAAAGCTAGAAAATGTGAGTTATCCAAATTACACTGAAAGAAGCTGTCATTGCAAAACTATAATGTAGAGGCCTCAATGACTGGAAGGGGGTTTTTGGGGTATGTCATAATATGCCAATAAGTGGACGACAAGGGAAGACTACTGGTAAGTAGATTTTTCGGCCTGTGGAATGTGTACTCAAATAGTAATTACTTCGGCCCCGAAGATCTACCATGCGGGTACACGGACCCTTAGGGCTGTACAAGATACAATCGTAGTAGAAATACCCATAATCACAACCACAAAAAGGAATAATAAGACTAATAAGAAGAATCATTTTTTAAACGAAACATGAATAAGACTAATAAGAAGAACCATGTTTTAAACGAATTACACATAGAGCATCCGGCTGATCATTGTCAGGAGGCCTTCCAGGATCTCCGACAGCTTCTTGGGTTGCAGGTCTCGAGACCTTCCCCCGCCGGTTTAGGGTCTAGGGTTTAGGGGTTTAGGGTTTAGGGTATAGGGTTTAGGGTTTAGGGTTACCCCAGAAGGAGGACAGAGATTTCAAGGCTTTTCTAGGGGCTCTTCTATGCATAAGGGCTCCAGTATGACGACGTGTCTGGATTTATTGAATGCGTTTCGGGCCTTACGGCTGTTGGAGTGCTAGGCCTTTCGGGGATTCGGGGTTCAATGTAGGGGCCTGAAAATTAGAATAGGGTTTTGGAACCCACTATACTATAATCACAATATGGAACCCCAGAATGGTATTGGTCAAGGTGTTGGGGTGTTGGTGGGTTTTGGAGTTTACACATTTTCGGTTAGGGAAGCCGACGCGATGCAAGGCAAGAGCGGCCAAAAGGGTACTTCTGGGAACCTAGAAAACCCTAAACCCTAAATCCTAAACCCTAAACCCTAAACCCTAAAACCCTAAACTCCTCCAATCCTCTGAATATCAGCTCATTGAAGGTAACATCTCCAGACCTGCGTCGGTTTCAACTCCAGAAACCAGAACCCTGAAGGCAATGCCGTAGACTTGATGCCTCAGGCTTGAAGGTACTTGTGGCCCTCAGGGAAAAACTCGAAGGGAACCCATTATACTTTACTCGCATTAGGGAACGCTTCAAAAGAGTATAGGTAATAATTGAGGCCCCATATTAGAGGAGCCTTATGGTATCCCTTATAGACCCCTTTAAAGGATCCCTTTAAAGGAACCCCCCCCCCCCCCCCAAATAGCATAGGTTAAACCCGAGCTGACGAATCCTGCCTGTTCCAAAGCATCCGTCCGACGGCCTCGCTGGGAGGAAGGACCTGCAGCTAGAAAGCCTGAGCCCTAGGCCCTAAGCTTTAAAGGCTCCTTAAAGGGATCTATATAGGGTTCCTTTAAGGGATCTATATGTAGGGTTTAGGGCTCCTTTTGAAGGGAACTCCAGAAAGTTGGAATATGGTTTCAGGGTAGGATACCCTATAATTTACCATAGAAGGGCTTAGGATAATGATATTCCAACTTTCTGGCTTCTACTGTAGGGCTACTATAAGGGATCTATAGTAGGGTTCTTTTTAAAGGGTATCATAAGGGTTCTATGGTAGGTTTCTGAAATCGGGGCCTTAATAAGTAGAATAGGGTTCCGTTAAAGAGGGCTCGAAGGGCTACCATAAGGGATCTATAAGGGTACTACAATAAAGTGGCCTGAATAGTTAGAATCGGCTTTTGGGGTATATGATAATATAACCATATTACGGAACCCCTTGGTAATCATTATTTAGGCCCCAAAGATCTGCACTGTAAGGGTTTGGACAGGGATCTAGAAGGGTACGTAGTTGAAGGGTGTGGTTCCAATTAACTACTGGGTTCAGGGACCCCTCTAGTTCAGCGTCATCCACGACTCTTCGGGCAAACTGGGCACTCGCATTACTGCAGCTACAGGGGATGACATGAAGAAGCAATCGTGTTTCTCCTGCAAAAACACAGTTCTGTGCTAGTGTTCCTATTCCGTTGGGTCCGTCGTAAGGAAGACAACCTGTCCGAGTATTCTCGGAACTCTAAACGAACAACCGTGTCGTCCAATCGCCTGATTGAAGCCCACGTTATCCAATGCCGGGGTTCGTAAGGTTTTAATATCAGCTTAAAAGAAGTATTTGGTGGAAGTGTTTCTACGAGTACGCCGACTCTGGGGGCAATCAACTACGATGGGCAGTAACGGTTTGCTGGATCTGGATATCTTAGGCTGTCGAGTCAAACTCAGCGGAATCCACAGTCCTAGAGCCCGACAGCTTAAACTCCCTGGCCGAGTAGGGAATGGGGGAATGGATTATGGGGACTAGTATTGGGGATTATATAGGCGCTCCTCTATAGGGATCTATTCCCCTAGTTACCAGACAGTAAACCCCGGAGCCCTCAACCTAGACCTAAGAAACTCGAGCCCCTTAACCCTTCCAAGTCCTCACTGAAGCGCCAAAGCTGCAAATAAGTAGGAACGCCTTACAACGACCTCACAAGTCCTCATGAGCGCTTTGAGCCCTATAACCCTTTGTATCCAGCAAAGTAGAAGACGGCTCTGCAACCCTAGAGCCCTAAGCCTTAATCCCTAATACCAAACTCTTTTCCCCCAAACCCTAAACCCTAACCCAAAACCCAAAACCCTAAACCCTAACCCTAAACCCAAAACCCTAAACCCTAACCCCTAAACCCTAAACCCAAAACCCTAACCCCTAAACCCTAAACCCTGCCCAAAGAACTCTAAGCCTAAACCTTAAAGCGCCCAAAGAACTCTCCAGGACCTTGGTGTTGCCCGGCTTCACAGAGACTGTGGTGCCCGTCGGACTTGAACTGGGTCGGGACTTGCTTTAAGTCTGAAACATGTTTTCAACCTAAAACGAGTTTAAACCAAATGTAAAACAATAGCTTTTTCTTAAAACAACTTAGTAGAGGGACTTTGCGCATTTTGAGAAAGGGTAGACGGGGTCGTCATAATGAGAATACGGTGAGTTGTGTCTTGGGAACTAGAAGGGGAGATCATTTGCAATTATTTCGACTTCGACACCGGGGTTTCAGCGGCTGATAGGGCTTCTGGAGGTTCACAGCCTTTGAACTGGACACTGTTTCGGTTCCCTGATCGTTGAAGAGGGTGCTTAGGTACCGGTGCTCTCTCAGCACAGTGCATGGGCCTGGATTTCTATTCTATACAATGAAGACTGTGGGCAACCCTATAGAATACCATTGCCAATCCCCTACATATGACCCCCGCCTCACCCCCCCGCCCCCCTGCGCACGCAGACATCCTCAACTTGGGAGTCCGGCTTGTCGACGACGAAGCACCTGGGCCGACCCCCCTCAAATCTCTGGTATTGAAACATGGGCTTCACGAAGCTGTGGTTTCTTGACTGCGGGTGAGGACCGCCATGCAGCCTAAACCCCAGTTTCCAACAACAAATTGAGCCGTAAACCGTAACCAGCGGCTATTGCTGAAGTTGTATAGTTTGCTGCACCACATGCCACACCACACCCAGCACTGGCGCGATAACGTGGCATCTAGGGCAGAGCCTCCAATCCTTGGCTTGATGGTTCTCCAAACCTCAATCTATCGAGTTGTCTCCATTTTGCCAACGACGGTCGGT